TATTCTCAGCATCCTTCTGTAGAATCACATTTCTGTTACATCAAGTCATCAGTGAGGAAACCGTCCAACATTTACTGCCATATAGGAGGGCTGATATTACATAGCAGTACAACACTGTTGTCTTGTTTCTAATGAATGTTATCTGTTTCTTAATAATTTGCTTAGCTTTCAGAAGGCATCTTTTGCAATTTCAGTGCACACTAGATTAAAATCAGTTATCAAAAAAATAGTTTATTTATTCTTTGAAAATACATCTTCAATTACAGATTTACCTGTTCACTAGTTCTGACCTATTGACTTTATTTATCAGATATAGCATTTGATGTCACGTTAGACCCATCCCCACACTTTCCTGTTTACAGTTATTACAGTCTTATGAGTTATACTCAAAGTACTTGGACATGGCCAATGACATCTGGGTAAATATTAACCTACCAGACACCTCAACTTTGCTGACACAAAGATAATTTTAGTCATTTCTTATGAAAAAAACAAGAGAAGGGTTCTTACATACCATCAGCCCACAAAGCTACTAAACTACAGCATGATTTTATTCATTTTAATTATGTAGAGTAAGACTGGTTTAATCTAAAAAGGTAATTTGTTTACCTGCATTTCTCTTTAAATAATGTTTCTGAAAATACTGTTTATAAACTAAGAAATAAAAACTGAATTTCAATTGAACTTAGCATTTTTGTAAGCCAGGCAGAAAAAATAAAGATAAAAACTGCTGTAGCATACCTACAGATAATAATGGGTATGTCTCCATTCACATAAATAGAGTAGTAAATACTGTATGTTGGTCTGCAGCTGGAGATTCATTGTGGAATTCACTTGACTCACTTGCAGCAGTCGACTACTTCTACGCACCACTGGCAAACCTTATATGTGCTGTTCTTGTCCTAATTATTATCATTCATTACCAATCTTCGTTTGATTATTCTATTAGGTTACAACAAAAATATTTATTATCTGTCTATATCTCTGAGATGAGGTATTATGTACATTATTTACATTATTAAGACTATTTTCCTCACCTTTGTCGCCATAATTATTAAAACGTTTCGGCCATTGTACGCTCTGGCCTTCTTCAGGTGGTTGGAATGTCAAACTTAACCCTTTATTTTGCATACTGGGGCAGACTGTTCTAGTTCCATGCGCCATGTTTAATGGATGTCAGTTATCAGTTATCTCCTGTTAATTTCCCTCTCCATGTTCTCCACTGCCTTATCCGGGTATTGAACTCACACTCTTTAGGTCCTGTCACTGGATCTAACCAATGCCTTTATCCAGTGTGTCATGTGTCCTTGTGGTTAAGTTCGATATTCCAACAACTGAAGAAGGCCGGAGCATACAACGGCCGAAACGTTGTAATAAATATGGTGACAAAAAACATTTATACATTTAAAATTTGTAACCAATTGGGTTTTGCATTAAGAAAAAAAAAAAAAAATCATTCAAAATTATTTTGTCTTTTTTAGAAAGAAAATGAAAAATATTTCAAGAAACAAAGTGATAAAAAGAATTTACAAAATATACCTGTAGCACATCATTATCAGGTCAAAGAAAGAAGAAAAAAAAAAGTTTGTGTGAGAAATAAAAAATAAAATCAATGATTTAACCTTAAACAATAAGAGTATATGCAGCTAAGCGTATTTACAAAAGGTCTATCTCTGAACATTGGTATATTTATGGGGGAGATGTGCTTAAATTTTATTACATCAAAATCGCTACACAATTGCAGTCGTGTTTTGATGCATATTAATGCATCTCATCAGACGATTGTAAACTACTGGCAAGTGAACAATTTATTCAGATTTAAAAGCAAAATACAGCCCTTTTTATGCCAGTAATTTATAATCACCAGATGAGATGTGTTGATCCACAATGAAACATGAATGCAATTGTGTAGCAATTTTGACATATTTTTGATCTAATATCCTAAAATAAATAATATTAGTCTACTTTATATTTTGTCCTCTTTTAAATTGAAATGTTACAAATGTTGGAATTGTACTTTCATTCTCATTTTACTTGGATATATATATATATATATATATATATATATATATATATATGTATGTATGTGAAAATGATAAAAATATAGTTTTAAGGTCTGCTAAATTTATGGGGAAAAGTATTCAATATTGGAGTTTATTTATTTATTAAATAGTATATTTATGTTTGTCTACCAGTTTTAATGTTTGAGAAACCTTATTAAAGAAAATTTTCTGCCAGAGAGCACAAATTTTTTTTTCTTTAAGATTTCTCAAACATTCAGACTGGTAGACAAAAATAAATAAATATACTGTTTCTGGTCTCACAACCTTCTTCAGGCAAAGAGTGGATATTTCCACATATTATTAAAATGAATTAATTTTCCTTATGATCTTTTTTTGGGGTAGTAGTGACACAAATGTCTTTCTTAGACTGGAAAAGAAAGACATTTGTCTCACTACTATCCAAAAAAAGAGAATGTTTAAAATTGAAAATCATAAGGAAAATTAATTCATTTTAATAATATGTGGAAATATCCACTCTTTGCCTGAAGAAGGTCGAAAAACTGGAAACGTGTAGCAAAATTATGGAAAAATAATATATATAGTATATATTTAAAAAAAAAAAAAAAAATCCATATTACAACCAAGATTGCAAAGAAAATGTTTGTCGCAGATTATTTCCACGTTACAAAGAATAAATAACTAAATTTTGACTCGAACATTGGGGACAGAAAGAAAATGCCGAAAACTTGATTCGCAAGCACTATTTCACAAATCCCAATGCACGCCACCAGTCAGAAAAATAACTCTCCAACAGCCGTTGTAGCCAAAATAGCCAACTTTTTTTTTCTTTTACCGCCGATACGAGAATGCCAACTGCTTTTATCGTCCGAACATTTTTTTTTTCCATTTGTCAACAGCTGGGAGAGGATGTTCAGTAATTTGCATATCAAAATACTTTTATAAAGATTCCTGTGACGGACTTGTTTTTTTAATTCAAATATTCCATCTTCAGCACGTCATGCGGAATACGTGCCCTTTTGTTTGTTAAGTAATTTTCTTTTTCGCCACATTTTCTGTCATAGAATACACGCGACGCGCTGTCGCTTGGTTTGATGAGGTAAGTCGCTGTTTTCTTCACTATAGGTTTCTTTTCAAAATATATAAGTTTTAAAAATGACAGTTTTTAAATATTTAATACATTTTATGCTTACAAGAATCAATGCTATAAAAACAGCCTCAAGGCAAAAAAATAAAATCAAAAAGTAAATATAGTTCGTGAAAACCCAACTTATTTTTAAGTCCTAAAACCTCATTTTAAAACTATTTTCTTTTCAAAGATTTTTTTGTAATTCTTGTCTAACCATGAAATTTAATTTAATACTTTTCTCGACATAAAGATCAGTTTTATCTTTTCTTCAGTGCCAGAAATAAAAACTTATAATACTCCCCTCCTGGCATCCAAATTATTCAGTCACCCCCCCTCTCTCTCTCGCTCTCATTCTGTGATATTACAAATTTGTTCCATGATATTTCACCTTATGACCTTAACACTTAGTTATCCCTAATTTGAAACTGGTTTTCCTTCCAAGTGTACAATGCCAAGAAAACTTCCTTAATCAAGACTGACATTCAAGCCTTTTACACTAAAAGACCTAATTACACTGTATACAATACTTATACTGTATACTATAAAAACCAATGATTATTTTTGTTGTTGACAGAACTGCCAATGAATAAGATTTTGTAAGTACAAAACTGATCATTGGTCAACACAGCATTACCTACAGTCAAATGGAGTCAAAATTATCTTTTCAAGAAGGATCATTTAAAATACTATGAGACTGGTAAAAAACTCAGTATGTGTCTATATTTCTGAGATGAGGTATTATGTACACTATTTACATTATTCGGACTATTATCCTCATCTTTGTCACCCCAAGGACACATGGTACAGTGGATAAAGGCATTAGTTAGATCCAGTGACAGGACCCAAAGAGTGCAAGTGTGAGTTCAATACCCGGTTAAGGCAGTGGAGAACTTGGAGAGGGGAATTAACAGGAGATAACTGATAACTGACGTCATTAAACATGGCACGTGGAACTAGAACAGTCTACCGCAGTTAGCGAAAAAGGGTTCAATTCGACATTCCAACCACCTGAAGAACGCTGGAGCGTACAACCGCCGAAACATTGTAATAAATATGGCGATAAAGATGAGGACAATAGTCCAAATAATGTAAATAGTGGTACAAAACTGTACACCAATTGATTTCTGAAATTTTTTCTGTTCTATTGAGCATCAAAGATGATGGGGAAATTACCTAACTATGGGGTAGTGGTTAAAAGAGCTCATCAATGAAATTGTCCCTTCATTGCTGGTGATTTTTTTTTTATATATATATATATATATATATATATATATATATATATATATATATATATATATATATATATATATATATAAAAACATGAACATGTTAACTATTATTTCACTTCCTTTTTTTTTTATATCTACTGAAGAAAGTGCATTTTGTTCACAGTTTAAATAAACTTTTGTCACATTTGAGTTCTGTAAATATGCAGATATACACACACACACAAAATTTTCATCCATGAACAAAGTGTTACCATATCACAGAGATAGTAATACTTTTTGCTGGTATGGTTAGGTAAATTTATATCCACCTGCCATTCAAATGGCAGGTTTCATTTTCAGAAGGTTCATCACTTTTGTGATCTTATGTCATACTTAACTGTAAGTGAATAATATATGAAATAAGTATCTTATGACAAAGCAGGCATCTTATATCAACTGATAAGATTAGTGGCTCATTAATCAAAAGACACCATCTCTTTGCTTATAAACTGCTTTATGCCAATGCAGAATTTCCAGCATGTTAATTCTACCTTTATACTGTCATGGATTCAATTGTATGCATGCACTTAGCATGTGTGTCGCTTTGAGTCCCATGGTGCTTTCCCTCTAAAAGATTGTATCTCATTCATAAAATGTGAGAAAAAGGCTCGAAAGAGAACCTGACAAGAGGGGAAAAAGAAAAGTGAGAGAAAGTATATCTAGGAGAACCTGAAGGGATGGCAGAGAGGAGATGTAAGGAGAACCCGGCAGGGGTTGGGGGGCAGACATAAGGAGAACCCGGCAGGGTTGGGGGCAGACATGGGGGAGAACCCAGCAGGGTTGGGGGGGGCAGACGTAAGGAGAACCCAGACGGGGAGAATAGGCCAAATTGGGGGGGGCAGACGTAAGGAGAACCCGGCAGGGGTTGGGGGGGTAAAGACGTAAGGAGAACCCAAGCGGGATTGAGGGGGGGGACGTAAGGAGAACTCGGCGGGATGGAGGTGGATGGTATAAGGAGAACCTAATGGGGGGGGGGGTCGTAAAAAAAAACTTAACGTGATGGGGGTGGGCATGTAAAGAGAACCCGACGGAAGTGGGGGTTGGAAAGAGAGAAGTGAGAGAAAGTATATCTGGGTCAACAAAACTAGCAAGTAGACACATGTTGCTTTTAAATAGTAACAGTTCTGATAACATTACAGAATGATAAAGTCATGTAATTTCTTGCAAACACTTGTTCAGAGAATATTTTATACAAAACTATAGGAAAGGGTGGGAAAAGCTGAAGTTAATTTGTTTTGGCTGATTACTTAGATATTAAAGAGAGAAAACACGGTGTATGGAAAGAATCCTGAGTAAATTTGGGGAAGTGGGTCAAGCCAGGAACTTTTCAGCACCTTGTCTCCTACCAAAAATTTGCTCATTTACTAAGCTTATCTTTGCACAGCAACACATATATCCAGTAAGGACCAACCACACTGAGGACAGCTTGTTAACCATAGTGAATTGGTCCGTGAGACTCAAGCTTGTTAACCATCACACAAAGTGGAGAGGCCCTTCAAATGTGTGACCAAGTTTAACTGGTGCAGAAACCCGTGTGTGTGTGTATGTGTGTATGTGTTACTTATTGAGAATTAACTATTTACATTCACACTATTTCTATTATTCGGACTATTGTCATCTTTATCGCCATATTTATTACAATGTTTTGGCTGTTGTACACTCCAGCCTTCTTCAGGTGGTTGGAATGTCAAACATAATAAGTATGGTGACAAAGATGAGGACAATAGTCCGAATAATATAAATAGTGTACATAATACCCCATCTCAGAAATATAGACATATTTACATTCAGTCAATCATCTTTGTTGATATCATGTTTTGGCTGTTGTATTCTTCAGCCTTCATTATCAGGTGCTTGTCAATCCAGGTAACCTTCAGGAAATTTAGAGCTGAACCCTTTATTTAATATACAAATGGATATTGTTTTCATTCTATTAAATATGTCCAGAGATATCTTGTCTAGTGCTTATTTAGTCCAGCAATTATTGTTCCTCATCCTATTTCTACCAAGTAAGTCTGTACTACCCAGTCCAGGGATTGAACTCACAATTGTGATATGACTAAATGTAGAAAATAGTAGGCTCTATATGATATATATATATATATATATATATATATATATATATATATATATATATATATATATATATATATATATATATTTTCTTTTTTTATTCTTGTATATTATGTATAATACACACATGCATCTACTGTGCTCAGTTTGAACAAATAGTTAATTTTAAGAAAAATTAATTCCTAGTTATTTCTTTATAGGTAGATTGTATTCTACAGATATGTCAAACCATGTCTTTGTTAGGTTTTGAAAACAGACACACATCAGTAGCTAAAATTATTTAATACTATTTGGAAAAGCATACCTTTCAAAACTATCACCAATGGAAACTCATGTATGTACCCAAGTGTGTGTGTATGTATATATATATATATATATACACATACTGCATGCAACTTTAACAATATTAGTAACGATTATGCCAACTTCTAGTCCTCTTTGAATACCTGTTGGAGTTGGAATTCAAATCCTTCATTCTATTGTCTATAGTTGAGAATATATCTGTTAATTCATCCCTGTGATATAACCTTTTTGCATGACTGCAAAGGTTATTAGATCCACTTAACCATGAGATATTCTTTAGTTGGGTCAATGAGACAAGTGACGTCGCAGACAAATTGATCTGAGATATCCTTGGTATGGACAGCAGCATGAAAACCATTTCCTTTCTGCAGATTGAATAAAACATTCAGGTTACTAACTATAACAAAATGAGGGCAGGTGATATAATATGCAGTAAAATGACCGACTATAGACCCCAACTGGGTTGCTCAAATTCCAAATAAATTGTTGAAAGAAGTTGGGCCCAACTTAAATTGACTTGTCTACCCTCCCTTGTGGTGGGGGATAATTTTTGTAGATTAGCATTCATTAGACATTCCTGAAGTCATAGTATTTATCAGAATAAAAAAAATATTGACTTTTTATTTTTAATACGGTCCCAAATCAATCTCTGATTTATTAATGAGTTTTCTGTACTTTGTTTTTATTTACAATATCAACAAATTGGAGATATCAAGATGAACTGGAAAACACCAAAATGAAGCAGGTACAAAAATTTAAATATCTAGGAAGTGTTTTAGCAGAGGATGGAAAATATGACACCAAAACCCAAAGGTGCATTGAAATAGCAAAAGAGGCCTTCCAAAAGCTAAGCATAGTATTAAGATGCAGGAAAACATCCTTAGAAACCAAGAAAAGAGTACTTATCCATTATTGATCACAGATTTGAAGCAACAGAAATGTGGTTCTGCAGCAAGATGTTGAGGATACCATGGACCAAACATGTGAGCAACGACAAAATATCTATGAACAAAGGATGGAAAGTGTGACACCAAAATCTGAAGACACATTTGGATAGCAAAAGATGCCTTCCAAAAGCTAAGCATAGTATTAAGAAAGAGGAAAATTTCATTAGAAACAAAGATAAGAGTACTGGATTGTTATATAATATCAATCCTCCCATATAACAGTGAAGGCTTCACAGATGAAGAAGAAACTTGAAGCAACAGAAATTTGGTTCTACAGAAGGATGCTGAGAATACCCTGGACTGAACATGTGAGCAATGACAAAGTTTTAGAGAAAATAGAAGCAAAAAGACAACTGAAACTTCTAGGGTACATAATGAGGAAAGAGGGCTTAGAAAATTTAACACTCACACAACATACTGAAAGCAAGAGAGCAAAGAAAGCAATGTATAACCTACCTAACAAGCTTGTGAACATGGTTAGCTGAACAGAGGTTAGGAGAGATAGCAAAAATATCAAATTTATTATGAGTTAGAAAGAACAGGAAGTTGTGGAGAACCATGATCACCTACATCCTGAAAGAACATGGGATATAAAATGGATGACCTGAAAAAGGAATCTAACCATCCAGAAACCAGAAAGGTGGACAACAAGTGACTGTTTATGGGTCAATATCTATTTCTTCAGACTGGTCTGAAAATTCTTAACCAAAGACTACCTGAGGACCCAAGACTACCTGAGGACCCAAGACTACCAAATCTCCGCCTAAGTTGTCTCAATGTAATCTTTTGACTTTGGTGCAGAAGCATTAATATACTTGCAATTCAGACAATGAATTGCTTGGCAAAAGAAAGGAAAGTATAAAGAAAAAAATGAAAAAGAAAGAAAGGGCAGGGTGTGGAAAAAGACAGAAAGGCCAGGGTGTGGAAAAAGACAGAAAGGGCAGGGTGTGGAAAAAGACAGAAAGGGCAGGGTGTGGAAAAAACTGAAAAGGAGGGGGGACTGTAATAAGAAAGGGAGAGAGAAAAAAAAAAAAAAGAATATCAACGTATTTGATTTCTTATGCTAAGCATTGGTTTATATTGCACATCATGTGCAAATCCTAAACGTCACTTTTTTGTGACTAAAAATAGTGATTAAAAAAATTTTGGATTAAAAATTAAATAGTCAATTGCACATTCACCTTTAATAATCCAATCCTGTTAACAATGTCAAATTGTTGTTTAAAATTAAAATATCAAATAACCCAATTAAATGACAATGTTTAGTTTATGTCAAGATCTAATAAGCAAAAGCAACTAATGGCAGTAATTATGATACTACTAATGCTACTAACAGCAACAACATTACTACTACTATTGATGACAACTACAACACTGCTACTACTACTAATAATACTAATAATGATGATGATTATAGGATGTAAAGATAAGACTAATTGGTCCAGAGAAAGGATTTATATTCTGATGAAGAAAGTCTCATACTAATGGCCAATGTTTGACATACTTTGATGAAAATATTTTTGGGAGGACACTCTCCAGAAAATCTGAATTTCCTGTAAAATTAGGGGGAGTGTTCCTACCAAGGATGTGCCAAACAAATGTACTTAGCAACTTCTTAATTTCAACAGAAACACACACTTCAGAGGAAAAAAATGCCAATGATACAAGTTTTTAAAAAAATTAGTATCTATTATTTTCTCCATTTTAGTTTTTAAATCATTTTTACTTTTTGTCGCTTGAGTTTACAATAGGTTGTAACCAGCAAGCTTAAGTAACATTCTCTACTTAGTAAGAGAGGAAGATGTGTATAGCAGCTGTGGTTGTAACAAGAGTAAAACGATTCCTTACTACGGATGCTGTTCCTTCATTTAGTTATATAAAACTTCTGCCATAACCAAGAGAGTGCTAGAAAGTTCTTAGTCCTTGCAAGGGGGGGGGAGCAAACACAGATTCTGATCTTTAACCAGATTTCAAGAAGCAGTCTAGCAGAGAATTATTCAGCAACCTACATAAAAATTAAATTTAAATTTCACAAGTACTTCAGAACCCACCTTTTCCTCTTATAAATTCCTGAGTTTTATGGAAAACGAAGGACTGACAATAACCTGTCGGTATTTGCAAACAACATATTTTCATTTTTTGTTAGTCAACCCTCACCACCATCACTTTTCTTCAGAAGGTGGTCTCAAAAGTAAAGTACAAACATTAATTAATCCAATGTATTTATTTTTAGTAGATATCAATTAATGTTGGGAGACTCGTGACTATTAGGGTGGTTAGCTAATCCCTGTTGCAGACACCTTTTCAGACATTTTCTTGTGTCTTCTTGAACTACAGAGCCAGCCTGTAGTTTATACTGAAACTAGGCTGGGAGGACCTTACAGTTTCTGGAAGACAGAACATATACAAATAAACACATTAACAACAATACTATTTTTACAAGTAGACACCAAGATTGAGGCACTCTCTCATATATATATATAAAACATTATAAAATATGTATAAATAGAGAATATCACACATTGAGTGTTAATAAAATAATGCTTAATGTATAATAACAGATTTATAATAAATATAAAATATATATGTCTATATTTCCGAGACGAGGATTTGTAACTATTTACGCTACATTATTCGGACACTTGTCCTCATCTTTGTTGACATATTCACAATGTTTCAGCCATTATACAAGTGATCAGAATTTCAAATTGATCCCCTTATTTCATTCACTGGGGTAGATTGTTCTAGTTCCACATGCCATGCCTCTTCTAGATGTCTCAGTATCAGTTATCTCCCTTTAACTCTACTCTCCAAGTTTTTGTTCACCTCAGCTGTAGCCAGGGATTGAACTCACAACTCTTTGGGTCAAGTCAACGGATTCAACCAATGCTTTTATCCACTGGGTCATGTGTCTTTTTATACTTTTAGCGAAGTATTGACAAACTGGGATAGAAGTATACAAGAGGATAACAACACTCAAAAAACAGCCTCGGTCTGCCTCCCTATGTGAAGGGATTATCAGAAAAAATACAAAAGATCTGTGATCCATATAACATCTAGACAACCTTCAAAAGTGGTTCAACATTTCATAGACACCTCTTCCAAGAAAGATCTCCCTTAGAAGAGAACATGATTAAGAACTGTGTGTACACTGTCCCATGCAGCTGTGGTAATAAATATAAAGGAGAAACAGGTCACTCCCTTAAGACGAGACTGCAGGAACACTGTAAAGTCATAACACGAAGGGAAATAGAAAAATCAGGCATAGCTGACCACATATGGAGGGAAAAGGGAGATCACTGCCCCCTGTGGAATGAGGGGGAAATAATATAGAACATCACTGGAAAATACAAAAACTTAAGGAATTAGTGCATATGATCTAAGCCAGACAAATATAGAAATGAATACAATATGAGAATCTGTAATATGGAATGCTAGAGAAAAACAATAGTAACAACAAAATTGTAATATGAGCTCTGGTAAAGATCTGTTAGTGAGACATTAGGTTTATAAGTCCCAGAAATTCATACACTAATGTCCTGGGGGACACATGGTCCACTGGATAAATGCATGGGTTGAATCCCGTAACTTGACCCAAAAAGTTGTGAGGTCAATACCTGGCTGGGGAACAAAAACTTGGAAAGTCGAATTAAAAAGAGATAACTGATACTGAGGTATGGCATGTGGAACTAAAACAATCTACCCCTATTGAACGAAATAAAGGATTCAGTTCAAAATTCCAATCACTTGAAGACTGGAGCATACAACAGCCGAAACATTGAGAATATGGCAAGAAAGTTGAGGGCAACAGTGCAAATAATGTAAATATATAAAATATTTATATAACATTTTTGATCATTTCACCCCAAGCAAGGCAAAGGGGATTACTGAGTGTTAGAGAATATGAGGGAGGAAAAAAATTTAGGATAGAGAACAATAACCTGCTTCCTATGTGAAGGGATTATCAGAAAATATACAAAAGATCTGTAATCCATATAACATCAGGAGAAACTTCAAAAGTAGTTCAACATTTCATAGACACCTCTTCCGAGTAAGATCTCCATTAGAGGAAAACATGATTAAGAACTGTGTGTACACTATCCCATGCAGCTGCATGGGATAGTGTACACACAGTATATAAATATATATATATAAAGGAGAAACAGGTAAGACAAGACTGCAGGAACACCATAAAGTCAGAACATGAAGGGAAATAAAAAAATTAGTCATTAATAAGAATTAAGAAGATATGACTGAAATTGCATTTAAATTTTTGAAGATCAAAGTTGGCTATGAAGGAAGAAGCCAGAAGAGAGTGCCACATGCAAGAAAAGAAATTGTTAGCACAGAACTTATGTTTGCATCTAATCAATTCAACTGTAAATTGATGAGACCTTGCTGCCAATCTAGTACTGCATTTAAATTTATAAAGTCTAGGTGTGACATCTACTGGGGTCATTTTGGGGTTGAGTCTTAGTCATTATGTGACCCAGTTGATTGGCAGTCGTTGTTACATGGCAGGGTCCTTTGGTCAGGGTACCAAATGGGATGGTTGGTCGCTTCTAACAGCATGAATGCATAATGGCTTCACACCAGATCTGCTGATCTCAGCTTGCTTCACTTGACTGATTACCAAAGTAACTACTTCGATCTCAAATCTAACCTACCCATGTTGTGATTTTGATCTTAGGTAGACGAGATGAATTAGACACCAGGGCCATTATGCAAGGTGAGTTTAAACTGGAGGTGACATTGCACAAGTAAAAAGTAATAAATGAGTATGTTTAAAGAAAGCAAATCGACTTTTATCAGTCTGTTCTATACAGGAGAGTATGTTCTTCCCAACCTGTTTCTTCTGTGAGCGACATTATTATACTTCGAGACAAGTTCTGGTCTTCTAAGTTAACTGGTTTAGTTTTTAGGTGCTGGCTTAACAGGAATCATGGAATTTCTCAGTCAGCTCTCTCCAACTGCAAAATGTGAACTAGCAAACTGCCTGAAGGTGCTCGCTTATATGGACTTCAACCAAAACCCAATGTGGGATTAGACACAGCCTGGGGTTTTCGGTGAATTCCCAATTTCCAATTTTAGTTGTCTGGTCAGGAAAATTAATTACTTTCTATTTCTAGGGGGATCTCTTTGTCCATGAGGAGAGGTTGCAGGATAGTTTTCCTCCTAAACTCCTTCCTTCTCACATTGGTACCTCACACCAATTCTTTTCAGTGGGCATTAGTAACTTCTCCATCTCTCTTACTATTTTACCTCCACCTATCACCATTGCTACCACATGACCAATGGCATCTCGGTCATGCTGGTTTGGCTGAGCTTGCTTCATTAATTAACTCTTTGACCCCACTGCTTATTCAGGATTTCTTATCCTGTTCCCAGATCATGAACAGTTTAGAATTATCAACTGGAACTTTGTTTACACAAATCCTTTTTGCGCCCTGCCAAAATTCCTGCAATTAACACATGGCCCTCTCAGTCATATTACCTGTTTACACAATATCTATGTACTCTTGAACAATAGATTGCATCTTCGTCGATTCTGGTTATTTTGTGTTTTCTTAATGAGCACTTTTAACAACTATCATTAATCAACTGTCAGAGATCACCACATTGCCTTTTTGTAAAATTATCGTTGGCACAATTCTTTGGTTTCTTTAGAAGAATAGACTTTTTGAAGAAAATAAAATCTTATGTTGATCGGTATATCCCTCCGGATATTTCTTAACCCTTCTGTTTTCAGCATTTTCTACCGTTCAATTTTTATGGTTAATTAATTACCATAGTTAAATAGTGTCACGTAGGTACCACCCAAACAATTACCATGAAAGTATTATATGGAGGAATGAGCTTGATAAAAAAATCTCAGGCCATATCTAAAACATTAGATTTAATTTTATAAAGTTTCTTACGTCATAACTTTTCACCTGTTCCTTGTGTGTATGTATGCTTTAAGAATATTAACTGAAGATTGAAATTTTTTTTCAAACAATATACCTATCTACCCTTAAAAAAAGACGTGGTTTAATATAGCAATATTGGAGAGAGAGAGAGATGGAAAAAAAAAAGAAACTTTACTTTCTCTTGGCTTCTTGCTACATAGTCTGGCAAATATGACCACAAAACAGATTTTTGGGAGAAGATTTAATAAATCACACAACTGATAGAGATCAAAATCCACAATTTTAATCAAAATTGGTCTAAATTTAATGAAGCAACACTAATCTAAATTTCATCTCACATTCCACAAACAATGAATAAAGCTGTTTCTGGCAGTTTTAGTGCAGAGAGTCACAACCTTGACTCAAAGGGTTTTTCAATGAGTCATTTTTTTTTTTATTGAAACTAGAGCCTCGACTTGAAAAGGTTTGACTTAGTCTGACATTGATGACAAGAGACAAATTGAAAGTGGTGTTTAATCAAGTATGTCAATGATAAATCTCTGAACTTTGTTGCTTTGCTCACAGTTCAAAATCTATTGCTTATTAGCACAAAAATGTATGAACCCTTCGTCGACAAAAACAGATGCTTATCCATCATCGTTTAAAATCTAGAAAGATCACAGAACAGAATGAAAAATAAACTATTGTTCGAGTTTCAAATCACAGGAATGTTATTAAACAGAAATGCATAACTGAAGGAAAGTAATTAACAGATTTTTCTATAAAAAAAATTGCTATTTTAGTGTTAATGTATATATAACTTATGTGTAACACATGCACACATAATTATAAGCATTATACTACTACTAATCCACTGAATGATGAGATCCTTTATATATATATATATACATACACACTTGTGAATTGTAAAAGCAATCTGTCAAGATCAAGGAAGTAAAATACCCAGGATGGAAGGAACCTAACAACCACCCCCGCCCTTCATCAGAACGGTCAGGTCACTCACAGGGAGGCTGGTAAGAACGTACTGCAATTTGATTGGCAAGAACAGGAAGCACAATAGACATGCTCATTCCCAAAATTCCTTATGGAAAAAAAAAAAAAAAAAAATTGTTGGGTCTCCTACTTTAATTTAAACCAGAGGCGAAAGAAAAAAAAAAAAATGTGTTTTGCGCCCCCCTCCACGGCCATCTGATCCATTTCCTTTTGCATTTTCTCTACTCTGTTTCTCAATCTGAACAACACTATGTCAACACGAGTTCATTTGGCATTTACTTTCCATTGGCGTTTTTCTAAAAGATGCTTGAGGTATATTACCTTGGGAAAAGCATGTGCACAAAATGGGAGGAGGGGAGGAGGGGGGAGAGAAGACGGGGGGGGATAGAGAGAAGAGGAGGAGGAGGAGGAGGAGAGAGAAGACAGGGGAATAAAGAGAGGAGGAGGAGGGGGAGAGAGAAGGAGGGGAGAGAATATGGAATAAAGAGAGAGAAGGAGGGGGAGAGAGAAGGAGGGGAAAGAGAATACAGGAATAAAGAGAGAGAAGGAGGGGGAGAGAGAATACAGGAATAAAGAGAAAAAAGGAGGAGAGAGAGGAATACAGGAATAAAGGGAGAGAGGAGGGAGAGAGAAATTTTTTTCAAACAATATACCTATCTACCCTTAAAAAAAAGACGGTTTAATATAGCAATATTGGAGAGAGAGATGGAAAAAAAAAAAAAACTTACTTTCTCTTGGCTTCTTGCTACATAGAGAGAGAAGGGAGGGGAGAGAGAATACAGGAATAAAGAGAGAGAGGAGGGGAGAGAGAATACAGGAATAAAGAAGAGAAGGAGGGGGAGAGAAGGAATAAAGAGAGGGAGGGGAGAGAGAATACTGGGAATAAAGAGAGAAGGAATACTGGAATAAAGAGGAGAGAGAATACTGGGAATAAAGAGAGAGAAGGAGGGGAGAGAGAATACTGGGAATAAAGAGAGAGAGGAGGGGGAGAGAGAATACTGGGAATAAAGAGAGAGGGGGGGAGAGAAATACTGGGAATAAAGAGAGAGGAGGAGGGGGAGAGAGAAGACTGGGAATAAAGAGAGAGGGAGGGGAGAGAAATACTGGGAATAAAGAGAGGAGGGGAGAGAGAAGACTGGGAATAAAGAGAGGAGGGGGAGAGAGAAGACTGGGAATAAAGAGAGAGGAGGGGAGAGAGAAGACTGGGAATAAAGAATAAAGAGAGAGAGGAATAAAGGGGAGAGAGAAGACTGGGAATAAAGAGAGAGGAGGGGGAGAGAGAAGACTGGGAATAAAGAGAGAGGAGGGGGAGAGAGAAGACTGGGAATAAAGAGAGAGGAGGGGGAGAGAGAAGACTGGGAATAAAGAGAGTGGGTTACAATGAAGCACAATTTATAAGGATATGTGGGAAAGATAACAGTTAACCCTAGATTTGAACAGGTTAAGATCTTAGTGATCGGAGAAGCATCCTCTTGGGAGTTAGTTCCACAAAGTAACGGATGATGGGAAGAAGCTACTCAAGCAGAACACGAAGGAAATGATAGCAGTTTGCTACAATGCGTGCGGTATGGTCATAGCCACAATGTTAGAATCGGTGGAGTTAACGTATGTAGTTTGTCTGAAGACTTTTTATGGAAATAGCGAGAGACTTGTGATATTTCATCTGTGAAAAAGGGATTGCAGGGCAGAGAATTTAATAAACCGGAGGGAGCAAATAAACGGGGAGGAGAAAAGTAAATAAACAGGGAGGAGGAAAGTAAATAGGGTTATAAGAATCTAACAAATGACTTTCAATAAATAAGAAAGGATTGAAAAGAATTATTCATTATTTACATATGGATTATTGTCCTCATCTTTGTTGTTGTTGTTATCACAATGCTTCAGCTTTTGTGCCCTCCGACCTTCATCAGTTGTATATTGATCTGGGTACCCAACAGGGAATTTTAAACTATAAGAAAACCTCAAAGAAATAAAAATAAATGCCTATGACTAAATTAAATGTTTTTTAACATAATAAAAAAATATTGGCTAAATTACAGTCAGTCATGTGCCATGCGTGATACACACCTAGGCGATCATGCATCTTTTGATACATGAATGACGAGGCAGATTTTTTTTCCTGCAGTATGTTGCCATTTCTTTTTGCAGTAGACCAGTTGCCATTCAAGGCTATAGAACCCGGTCTGTCCTGTGATTTACCCATAGCTGGGGGCAAGGGAGAAGAAGAGGATTCATACCTTTCCCAATGAGTTCGACTGGAATTCAAACCCAGCTCTCTGATTCCTCAATCTGAGCCACTATCCATTATTCCACTGTGCCTAAAAGCCGAAAATTGATAAGTGGGGGAGAGGCTAAGAAAAAAGAAATCCCAAAATTAACAATCAGGCTATGAAGACATTTATTCTGATTGATTGTCTTTTACAGCTTATCGACCCTTTGCAGGTTATTTAAAGCCAGAAAATATTTTTAGATTTTAAGAATTTTTTTTTTTTTCTTTTTAATCAATTCACCCAAACAAGGTGATAATGCCACTAAGATGCAAGGTACTACTTGGAGTGAAAGAGAATGAAAAGACTTTAGAAAGAATCGGATACCTATTCCTAAACAAAGTATAAAGCTCTACTCCTGTTCAAAAGATTGGGGAGGAGTGTGAACCTGATGATAAGCAAACCTCAAGTCTTACTAATTAACCCATAGCTAAGGGGAGGTGGATTCATACCTTTCCCAAGGGTATTTACACATAAGTGAATATAACAAATCCAATTGGAATTGTAACTCAGCTCTCCGATTAACAATTTTGAACCATCATCCATTATACCACTCATACACCCAAGCTTACAGTACCTGGTATTACAAGTGGTCACCCATCTAGGTACTGACCAGACTTGATGTTGCTTAACTTCAATGATCGTAACATTTATTTTTGAGAGTTTACACAATCAATTTCATAATTTATCATGAAAACATATTTTTGTAAAAACATAAGTACATCCATAGCATTCAATCTGTTTCATTAAAATAGACAGGGACTATATGGACACACTGCCTATTTAAAAATGGCTTTTTATTAGTACATCAAAAAGAGAGTTTGACAAAATGAGTTCAAACGTAACAACAAAAAGGAAAAAAAACAATTGTTTGAAAAGTTACAAACAAGACCATTGAAGTTATAAGGTTTGTGATGTCATTGCAAAGACCAAAAATAAAAAAAAAACTGGTTGCGTTAAAAGTCGGAAAATTAATGAAAAAAAGAATCTGGCCTTCAGGATAACACATTCCTCATTCTGAAGCACTATACAAAAAAAATTATTTATTCAGAGAAAGAGAGTCATTAACATCCAAAAGTTGCTGCCTATTCTAGCAAAAAATCATTATCATTCCAAGAATTGCTCAGACTAGTGATGATGCATTTGTTATTTCAGCCAATCTATTCTACAGTCTTCTTCAGATGTACAATCCTTTATGGAATTTCTTTTCTACAGTAAAGTGGGTTAAGAGAAAAGAATGCTTGCTCATATACCAACAAACTTAACATATTTCTGTCAGTGAGAACTACACAATGTCATTCTCAGAAACAAGAGAAAAATGGATGATTCCATATTTATAAGAACTGGCAGATGATCCCAAAAATGAGCTTCAATCTGTGGTAAGACATGGATTGTAAATTTTAACACACCCAAAACAAAACTGATCTTTAGGCCATTATAGATAATAACTTTTGCCTTCTGTCAGTATGGCTGATGCTAACCTCCAGGAAAGCAATTCAGTGGTCTCACATTTTCCAATGACATGAAGGAGAATTATTATATTAAGCCAATTGTAAGCTCTGCTGCTAATTGAAGTATTTCACTACCAGACAATTTTTCTCATTGGAATCCATCTTGCACAATTGTAAATTAATGTTTTGAATCAACAGAATTTTTATTTTTTATTGAAATTTTTTATTACTCCAAAAATTATTTCAGGTGGATACCCATATGTTTGAGTAGACACTTCACTGGCCTGTGCACTGTATTTGAGAAAAGTATGAGTGTGCAGATCCATAGACAAAATAGTGTTTAAAATAAACAGAGCACCTGCTCAAACACTGGTATCCACTAATAATGTTTGAAGTTATATATATATATATATATATATATATGACGTCACACATGAAATGGACAAAGTCCGACAATTATTTTAAGACATTTTTATGTTTATACATTCTTTTTATAGATACAAATATTAAAGTAAATGCTCTGTTTATAATAAACAGTATTAAACAACATTTACCGGCCTGAATGTCCGAGAAATTTTCACAGAATATATTCGTCCTCTGACAGGATTCGAACCTGTATCCTATATGGAACTGTCATTTAGCTTGACGTGCCTTTACTGATTTGGCCACGAAGGAGCGTTCGGTAAAGGCATGTCAAGCTAAATGATGGTTCCGTATAGGATACAGGTTCGAATTCTCTCGGAGGACGAATATTTTCTGTGAAAATTTCTCAGACATTCAGGACGGTAAATGTTGTTTAATACTATTTATTATAAACAGAGCATTTATTTAAATATTTGTATCTATAAAAAGAATGTATAAACATAAAAATATCTTTAAATGTGTGTGTGTGTGTGTGCAAAAAAAAAAAATCTGTGGGTAAGTAATCCAAGTAGATCCTATTAATATGAAATATTAAAACTGATCCACAAAACAGACCTCAATATTATAGAGCATATAAATGAATTACAATTAATGCGATTCAAACAATTTATCTCATAGACATGATCATTTCATCCCTGGGAATGTAGTTTTTCCCTGTACTTATCAATGCAATTTTATATATATATATATATATATATATATTTAAAAAATATAATTTTCATCATGCCCCAGGAATTTCAAGGTTTCAGAACTTACAATTATTGTTCCATTTTCAAGCAATATTCAGTAATTTCAGAAAGAAAATGATTTACATTTGAAAGCTAAGTTGTATTATAATGAAGAGTTTAACTAGGAGGGGGAATAAGAAAAGAAATTTTGAAATCTTATTCACCCTCCTACTTAAACTCTTCAATATAATACAAAAGTAAATCATTTTCTTTCTGAAATTACTGAATATCACTTGAAAAATGGAACAATTTTAAGTTCCAAAACATTGAAATTATATATAAAAATTATCTGTGTTGATCTTCCTCATATAAGCCTCAAGAAATATTCAGACTACCATCACTAATATTGAAAACTCTTGGCTCATGAAGAGATGGATTATTTAACTGAATATTGCTGGCCATAGATCATACTCCACCCCATGCCCTACCATGACTGTACATCTCCATTGTGTTAGAAAACGAGAGCAGAGTGTGCTCAATGTCTTCAGCAATAACAAACTGAACTAAATTTCTGGACAACACATTATTCAACTTGAGATTTGTGTGGATACTCCATACAATGAAAAAAGAAAAAAAAACGAAAAAAGAAAAAAAACGAAAAAAGAAAAAAAAAACGAAAAATCCCACATGTTAAATCTGTCCAGCTGCAAAAGAGAGAATTAATTAACTGGAAAAAATTTTTTTTTTGAGATTTTAAATTTGTCAGAATGTCATAACAAAATATGACACTGACTATATGCATTCCAGAGAAAATAAAGCAAAAACAAAACAAAAAAAACACTAACTACAAATTAAGATACAACATTAACTTTAATGGTTGAATGTATATTCAATCAAATATTTTGTCATTCTCAATTGAGGTTTTTGACAATTCTATTTGGATTGCAAAGAGTCAGGTCAAATGAAAGCACTAAGAAAAACATTATTGACTCAATGTTTCTTTTTTTCCTTTACAAGGAGCTCTGATCTCTATACAAAGCCTGATATCTTTTAACCTTTTCAAGCAAACACCTTTTCATCTGTCAGTGTTGTCTGTTGGTGACCACTTTTCTTTTTTTTTTTTTTTCCTTCTATGTCCTACTTTATTACAATCAGCAACCAAACTCCAGAATTATCCTTACACCCCCACACTACATCAAATATCGGAGGGGAGCTTTGTGCAAACAATCCTTCAATCTGACCCTCTTGTCAGCTACTGGATGTTTAGTCTCTTTACATTTAATCTACATTCCAGGAAAAAAAAAAAAAAAAAAAAAAATTCAAATCTATGCACTATTCTGGTGCAATTTTTATCTTTTTATTTCTGTCAGTATGATTCGCAAGAGTCATGTAATTTTCTTTTAAAGAGAAAAAAATAGAAACCAACGAGAACCAATTTAAAAAAAAGAAATCAACGAAAACCAATTTAAAAAAAAAAGAAAACCAACGAGAACCAATTTAAAAAAAAAACAAAAGCAAGAACCAATTTAATTTAAAAAAAAAAAGA